AGACCATCGGCTGTCAATGTAAAAAATTATGCGAAAATGGCGGTTAGGCGAAATCAAAATTATGCGAAATGGTCGTTAGCTGAAATGAAAATTATGCGAAATGATCGTTATGCGAAATCACGGTTAGGCGAAATCACCGTTATGCGAAATAAGCGTTATACGAAATAAGCGTTATGCGAAATCACCGTTATGCGGAATAAAAAATTATGCGAAATGCAATTATGCGAAAATGGCGTGGTGCGAAATGATAATTATGCGAAATGAATGGAAATCATTTCAGCCACCCCTGCCAAGAAGATGCAAACGGCCGACGAGCTTGACTGCATCCAGCACGGTCGATCTTTCGTCCTGTGGATGGCCGACAACAAGGAGAAATGGGCCGAGTTTTTGCCGGAAGCCATGCAGCCGAAGGAGCCGGAATTTGGAAAGGTTGGCATTTTTCAGAGTGTCTATCGTCGCGGCAGGGAGAGAAAGAGCGCATCCAGAGAGGAGAGACGCAGACAGAACTCTGCGTCCCAAAATGCCGTAATCGGTGTGTTGCCAGAGCCGCTTCTTTCTAACGGCCCTTTAAAAACGTTAAAAATCAGGGTTAAAAAATTTGGAATTGACTGTTACCGTCTGGTTTCAGGTTTTTTTTTCTCCCACACACACACACATTAAAAACATCATGGAATGGCCAGAAGACCTGATCGTCGGCGGGTTGAAGCGAGGAGCCGATGGAGTCAAGTAGGATCCTTCTATTTTGCGCCCTCTTCTTACCGTACCCATTACAGCGCTTGAAGTCGGCGGAGGCCCTGCAGAGCGCGTCTTTTCTCGTTGCCAGTCCGTTTGATTTGTATCTACGGTATAAGGTATGCTACACCAGTGCATCCGGTTAAAATCAATAATTCGCTGCAGGACCCGAAGCGGAATCCAAGCTCCGCTTGGCGAGGTGGGACCCTGGAAAAGCGGAATGATGTCATCACATCCTGGCAGCTGTCACTTTTACCAAAAGGCTGTGTACACGCATCCTGAAAATGTTATGGGGGGTCGGGGTTTATTTGCAAAAATCAAAAAGCAAAAAATTTATGCCGACAGGAATCGAACCTTCGGCCCTTAGACTAATCCCCAGCCTGTTACCGACTGCGCCAAGGCCTGTGCGCCTAAATTTGGGAAATGGCGCTGATTTCTTTATCTAGAAAAATTTTTTCCATTTCGTTGCAGGATCTCGAAGAACCGCGTGGTTCCACCCGCTCGCCTCGACGTCGATCGCCGACATAAGTTGGAGGAGTTCTCGCAGTTTTCTGTCCAATACATCATCTTATTATTGGCTACTTTTTGATGGTTAGTTAACGATGGTGCTTTATGCATAGGTTTCCTGGTTTAGCTTAGGCTTAGACCTCGGCTTGGACCTGAGCTTGGGCTTAGGAGTTTGGACTTAGGTTTAGGCTCAGCTTAGAAGCCCCCAGGCAAACCTTACCTTGACAGGGGTGGGAATTTCGGAAAACGCTCGTTGTCATCCCTATGTACTCGGCTTGATCACGATGCCTGTCAGATTTTCTGAAACCCTGTGGACAGAGATACACCCACTTCGGAAAAATGATGATTACATGCCAATAGCATCAAGGTTTCCTTATAGCTCTCCATCACTAAGGGAATCACCAGTTGAATGGCCGAGTGGTAAGCGGTTCGCTTGAGGGGCTACTCACGAGGGTACGAACTGGTCACGGCTTCTTTTTATTTTGCTTCCCGGCCAGAGCTTCCTCAACTCCAAATTTTGATTTTTACTATACTTTTCATTCTTTTACTTTACTTTTTTGAAAATTGATTCTCTTCTTAAAATATCTAAAAGTAACTTGCAAAGCGAAAAAGCAAAAAAAGTCATCAAGTAAAACAGCAACCGGGATTCGTAAAAACGGGAATGGGACCACCGAGATGTTCAAATAAATTGTTCGCATTTTTGAGGCTTTTTGAAGTACGCCAGCTGACGCAACAACCAAAAAAATTGCAGATCGTAAAAATCAAAATCTGGAGTTGACGAGAAAGCTCTGGCCAAGAAGCAAAATAAAAAAATCGTGACCGGATTCGTACCCTCGTCAGTATTCTATCAAGCGAGCCGCCTACCACTCGGCCATTCAACTGGTGATTCCATAGTGATGGGAGAGCCTCATAAAGAAACCTTGATGCTAATTTTTGGCATGTAAATCATCATTTTCCGGAAGTGGTGTATCTTTGTCCACAGGCAAGTTCAGGAAAATCTGACAAGCGCATCGTGATCCCAATGGTCGATTACATAGGGGTAGCCGCGAGCGTTTTCCGAAATTCCACCCTGTCCGGGTGAGGTTCCCTTGTTAGCTTATTGTTAAGCTAAGCTTCGGTTAGGCCTAGCTTAGGGCTTAGATTCGGTTTAGGCCTAGGGTTTGGGCTTAGGCTCGGGCTCGGGCTCAGGCTTAAGTTCCGTCCAATTTTCCAGATCTGCTACGCCGCGTGGACGCAATGCTGCATCAAGGGCTGGTGGTTGGCCGTCCAGTCAAACGTCTTGCTGTCGTTTATCAGGTACCGTAATCCAGTTTTAGCTTAGTTCATTTTCAGGCACAATGCTGGTGACCTATTCGTCAATCTGCGGCTTGGGCGTCACCACCTGGCTGGGCATCAACTTCAACGCGGCCACCACGCAGGTACGGTGAAAGAAGGGCATCAAATAAAACGGGATTTTCCTGTCTTCTTAATCCCTTTAAAATCGTGTTTAGATCGTCCCCTTCCTGTCGCTCGGGCTGGGAATTGACGACATGTTTTTGCTGCTTCATAATTACGATGAAATCATCAATACCGTCAGAAAGTGAGTGATTTTTAGAGAGGGCGAAAGAGAGAGAGGGAGAGAGAGAGACGGATAGAGAGCAAGAACTTTTCAAAACATGATGAACTTGAAAGAAAATCTGATGAATGCTGAGGCACCCAGCAAAGATCCTTTGAAAAACGTACCCTCGATATTTCAGGGACGAAATGGGCGTCCTCCTGAAAGAAACCGGCTTGTCCGTGATGGTCACCTCCCTCAACAACATCTTGGCCTCTTCGCCGGTACTGTACTCCCCGTGCCGGCCCTTCGCTCTTCTGTCTACAGGTGTGCAGTGTACCGTAACGTATTTCGAACGCATATTTCAGACAGCCATTCTGCTCGTATTCAACCTGCTCTCGTTGGTCATCATCTTCCCGGCCTTCACTTCGCTCGACTGGCGCTTGAGAAAGGTAACGGGTGGTTAAAGGAAGGCGACAGCTAGTTTTAACGGGAAATCTTAGGATTCTACGGCACAAACAAGCAATATTTTGTGGTAAACGTGATCTCGGATACTGCTTCCGCCTACCGAAGATCCGGCGGCTATCGCGGCCCTGGATAAGGAGAAACGGACAAGCTGAGGTGGGTGAGAGAGAGAGAGCGAGAGAGAGAGAGAGAGGAGAGCAGAGAGAGAGGAGGAGAGGAAGAAAGAGACAGCGAGAGAGATGGAGACAGCTGTGCGAGACATTTGACCACCTTACTGTAACAATTTTTTTCAGGCCGAGGGCTCCAAGTCTGTCCATCTTAAAGCCATGCAAAGTGATGCTACGCTGTCTAACGTTGAGTACATTTAGGTATCTTCAAAAAATCGTGTTCTACCTTACATTAAATTAATCATAAAAGGCCGAACAAAGAAAAGGAAAAGAACAGCCGAATATGATAGATTATGAGGGTACCCAATAATATAGGTGTTTAAATATCTACAAAAGGCTCGAATACCATGCTTAAAAGTGGGAACTTAAGCTTTTAGTGGGAACGCCGGCAACCCTGGTATACTGTCGGTGGATTTTTGACCAACGTCTACATCCCCGGAGCTGAAGAAGTTCTGGGTCAAAGTTCGTCTATACACCCTAAAAACTATCAAAAACTTATCTGCATCGTCACCGGGCTCACCATCGCCATGACGGTGTTCGGGCTGGTCGGAATGTACAACTCCACCCTCGGCCTCGAGCTGTCCGATGTGCTGCCCGAACACACGGCCCCAGCCGCCTTCATGAGGGCTCGCGAAAAGTACTTCTCCCAAATTTATGTTTGCCAGGCTGAAGGGAGGGAATGTTGATATTCCGAATCAGCAGGAGCAGATCGAGAGGAGTTCAGGATGGGATTGGGCAAGTCACGCAAAGCAAAAAACTTGAAGGTACCTTAAAAACGGCGAAAAGCCTACGACACTCGGGATTCCTTGCCGTCTCCTGGATCCAAGTACTAACCGAGCCCGACGTTGCTTAACTTGGCAGATCGGACGCGATGCCGTGCTTTCAACGTGGTAATGGTCTGTCATCACCAGCTCTGCCCTCCATTCTTTCGCCTACGACCATACCACGTTGAAAGCACGGCATCGCGTCCGATCTGCCAAGTTAAGCAACGTCGGGCTCGGTTAGTACTTGGATCGGAGACGGCTTGGGAATCCCGAGTGTCGTAGGCTTTTCGCCGTTTTTTAAGGTACCTTCAAGTTTTTTTTGCTTTGCGTGACTTGCCCAATCTCCTCCTGAACTCCTCGATCTGCTCCTGCTGATTCGGAATATCAACATTCCCTCCCTTCAGCACGGCAAACATAGGGTAGAAGGAGAAGTACTTTTCGCGAGCCCTCATGAAGGCGGCTGGGGCCGTGTGTTCGGGCAGCACATCGGACAGCTCGAGGCCGAGGGTGGAGTTGTACATTCCGACCAGCCCGAACACCGTCATGGCGATGGTGAGCCCGGTGACGATGCACTTAAGTTTTTTTGATAGTTTTTAGGGTGTATAGACGAACTTTGACCCAAGTCTTCTTCAGCCCGGGGATGTAGACGTTGGTCAAAAATCCACCGACAGTATACCAGGGTTGCCGGCGTTCCCACTAAAAGCTTAAGTTCCCACTTTAAGCATGGTATTCGAGCCTTTTTGTAGATATTTAAACACCTATATTATTAGACTTTTATAATCTATCATATTCGGCTGTTCTTTCCTTTTTCTTTGTTCGGCCTTTTATGATTAATTTAATGTAAGGTAGAACACGATTTTTTGAAGATACCTACATGCTCAACGTTAGACAGCGTAGCATCACTTTGCATGGCTTTAAGATGGACCTTGGAGCCCTCGACCTGAAAAATTGTTACGGTAAATTGGTCAAATGTCTCTTTCGCTGTCTCCATCTCTCTCTCGCTCTCTTTCTTCCTCTCTTTCTCTCTCTCTCTCTCTCTCTCTCTCTCTCGCTCTCTCTCTCTCACCCACCTCAGCTTGTCGATTCTCCTTATCCAGGGCCGCGATAGCCGCCGGATCTTCGGTAGGCGGGAAGCAATATCCGAGATCACGTTTACCCTAAAATATTGCTTGTTTGTGCCGTAGAATCTAAGATTTCCCGTTAAAACTAGCTGTCGCCTTCCCTTTAACCACCCGTTACCTTTCTCAGGCGCTTCAAATCGAGCGAAATGAAGGCCGGGAAGATGATGACCAACGAGAGCAGGTTGAATACGAGCAGAATGGCTGTCTGAAATTTTGCGTTCGAAATACGTTACGGTACACTGCACACCTGTAGACAGAAAGAGCGAAGGGCCGGCACGGGGAGTACGGTACCGGCGAAGAAGGCCAAGATGTTGTTGAGGGAGGTGACCATCACGGACAAGCCGGTTTCTTTCAGGAGGACGCCCATTTCGTCCCTGAAATATCGAGGGTACGTTTTTCAAAGGATCTTTGCTAGATTGCCTCAGCATTCATCAGATTTTCTTTCAAGTTCATCATGTTTTGAAAAGTTCTTGCTCTCTATCCGTCTCTCTCTCTCCCTCTCTCTCTTTCGCCCTCTCTAAAAATCACTCACTTTCTGACGGTATTGATGATTTCATCGTAATTATGAAGCAGCAAAAACATGTCGTCAATTCCCAGCCCGAGCGACAGGAAGGGGACGATCTAAACACGATTTTAAAGGGATTAAGAAGACAGGAAAATCCCGTTTTATTTGATGCCCTTCTTTCACCGTACCTGCGTGGTGGCCGCGTTGAAGTTGATGCCCAGCCAGGTGGTGACGCCCAAGCCGCAGATTGACGAATAGGTCACCAGCATTGTGCCTGAAAATGAACTAAGCTAAAAACTGGATTACGGTACCGATAAACGACAGCAAGACGTTTGACTGGACGGCCAGCCACCAGCCCTTGATGCGGCATTGCGTCCACGCGGCGTAGCAGATCTGGAAAATTGGACGGAACTTAAGCCTGAGCCCGAGCCCGAGCCTAAGCCCAAACCTAGGCCTAAACCGAATCTAAGCCTAAGCTAGGCCTAACCGAAGCTTAGCCTAACAATAAGCTAACAAGGGAACCTCACCCGGACAGGGTGGAATTTCGGAAAACGCTCGCGGCTACCCCTATGTAATCGACCATTGCGATCACGATGCGCTTGTCAGATTTTTCTGAACACGCCTGTGGACAGAGATACACCACTTCCGGAAAATGATGATTTACATGCCAAAAATTAGCATCAAAGGTTTCTTTATGAGGCTCTCCCATCACTATGGAATCACCAGTTGAATGGCCGAGTGGTAAGCGGCTCGCTTGATAGAATACTGACGAGGGTACGAATCCGGTCACGGTTTTTTTTATTTTGCTTCTTGGCCAGAGCTTTCTCGTCAACTCCAAATTTTGATTTTTACTATACTTTTTTACTTTTTACTTTACTTTTTTTTTGAAAATTGATTCTCTTCTTAAAATATCTAAAAGTACTTGCAAAGCGAAAAAAGCAAAAAAAAAAGTCATCAAGTAAAACAGCAACCGGGATTCGTAAAAAAACGGGAATGGGACCACCGAGATGTTCAAATAAATTGTTCGCATTTTTGAGGCTTCTTTGAAGTAGTCAGGCTGACGCAACAACCAAAAAAATTGCGATCGTAAAAATCAAAATTTGGAGTTGACGAGAAAGCTCTGGCCAAGAAGCAAAATAAAAAAAATCGTGACCGGATTCGTACCCTCGTCAGTATTCTATCAAGCGAGCCGCTTACCACTCGGCCATTCAACTGGTGATTCCATAGTGATGGGAGAGCCTCATAAAGAAACCTTTGATGCTAATTTTTGGCATGTAAATCATCATTTTCCGAAGTGGTGTATCTCTGTCCACAGGGGTGTTCAGAAAAATCTGACAAGCGCATCGTGATCGCAATGGCCGATTACATAGGGGTAGCCGCGAGCGTTTTCCGAAATTCCACCCTGTCCGGGTGAGGTTCCCTTGTAAGCCTAAGCTAAGCCTAAACCTAAGTCCAAACTCCTAAGCCCAAGCTCAGGTCTAAGCCGAAGTCTAAGCCTAAGCCTAAACCGAAACCTATGCATAAGCACCATCGTTAACTAACCATCAAAAAGTAGCCAATAATAATGATGATGTAGTTGAACTGCGAGAACTCCTCCAACATGTCGGCGATCGACGTCGAGGCGAGCGGGTGGAACACGCGGTTCTTCGGGTCCTGCAACGAAATGGAAAAATTTTTTCTAGATAAAGAAATCAGCGCCATTTTCCCAAATTTAGGCGCACAGGCCTTGGCGCAGTCGGTAACGGGCTGGGGGATTAGTCTAAGGGCCGAAGGTTCGATTCCTGTCGGCGCAAATTTTTTTGCTTTTTGATTTTTGCTACAAACTTTGACTTACCTTAACATTTTCGGGATGCGTGTACAGCCTTTTGGTAAAGTGACGCTGCCAGGATGTGATGACATCATTCGCTTTTCCAGGGGTCCACCTCGCCAAGCCCGGCTTGGATTCCTTCGGGTCCTGCAGCGAATTATTGATTTTTAACCGGATGCACTGGTGTAGCATACCTTATACCGTAGATACACATCAAACGGACTGGCAACGAGAAAGACGCTCTGCAGGGCCTCCGCCGACTTCAAGCTGTAATGGGTACGGTAGAAGGGCGCAAAATAGAGGATCCTACTTGACTCCATCGGCTCCTCGCTTCAACCCGCCGACGATCAGGTCTTCTGGCCATTCCATGATGTTTTTGCCGAACCCCTTGCATCCGCCGGTCATCACCTGAAACCAGACATTAACAGTCAATTCCAAATTTTTTAACGCTGATTTTAACGTTTTTAAAGGGCCGTTAAAGCGGCCCTGGCAGCACACCGATTACGGCATTTTGGGACGCAGAGTTCTGTCTGCGTCTCTCCTCTGGGTGCGCTCTTTCTCTCCTGCCGCGACGATAGACACTCCGAAAAATGCCAACCTTTCCAAATTCCGGCTCCCTCGGCTGCATGGCTTCCGGCAAAAACCTGGCCCATTTCTCCTTGTTGTCGGCCATCCACAGGACGAAAGATCGACCGTGCTGGATGCAGTCAAGCTCGTCGGCCGTTTGCATCTTCTTGCAGGGGTGGCTGAAATGATTCCATTCATTTCGCATAATTATCATTTCGCATACCGCCATTTCGCATAATTGCATTTCGCATAATTTTTATTCCGCATAACGGTGATTTCGCATAACGCTTATTTCGTATAACGCTTATTTCGCATTAACGGTGATTTCGCCTAACCGTGATTTCGCATAACGATCATTTCGCATAATTTTCATTTCAGCTAACGACCATTTCGCATAATTTTGATTTCGCCTAACCGCCACTTCGCATAATTTTCGCCATTGACAGCCGATGGTC